TCCAGCTCCTGTCCCTACAGCATGTGGGTGCTCCCCCAAGCACATTTTCAGCCCTTCGCTCCACACGCTGCCGCTGGGCAAACTCCTTTACCAGTGGCTTGAGCTACGACCATATCCTAGTGACCCCAAGTCTGGGTCTCTGCTCCTCAACTCTCTCCTGGCCCCGGTGCCACGTTTCCATCTCTCCACGGGCTCCCCAAACTAGAATCCAGCAAACTCAACAACCACTTGTTGATTGCCTACCATCTGAAATAAAAATCAGTAAGAGACACAGCCTGTAGTGTGGCTCACTCTCTCACATCCATCTCAAACTAGTATTTCATTTTCTTTCTGCTGATGCTCCCTTTGTATTTCCTATGTAGTCAAATACCTGCTTGTGCAAAGTAGAAATCCCAGAGTCATCCTTACTGTCTTCCCGCCCTCACCTTTCCCATCTGACCCCAGAGCAGTCCCCGATGCTTCAGCACTACGGACCTCTCTCCCATGCTCCTGCTCTTCTCCCTCCTGCTACGGCTTCCTGAATTCAGTCTTTCCTCATCTCTTCCTAACTATCGCAGTTACCTCCTTTCTGGTTGCTCTCCCCAGCCTTTCCTGCTTCCAGTCTTTACAGGGCCTGTAAAACCTGAAAACAGTCATGTCATTGCCTGTCGAGCGACCCGCTTCCCAAAGCTACAGTCCACACTCCTGGAAACGAATACAAGGCCCTTCCCAGACCGACCCCCATCGATCTCACCAGCTACACAGTCCCACCACAGCCCCCCTCCTCATCTCTCTCTTCGCTCTTTGCTCCAGCCGGACCAGACATCGTTCTGTTTCCTGAGTGTGCAGCCTTGTTCACATCTCCATACCTTTGCATACAGTTTCTCGTACCTGGAAGGATGTCAGCCTCCTGTATGCCTGGTAAGCCCCCATTCATCCATCGGGCTCAGCTCACTTCCACCATGAAGCTTTCGGGGCCTCCCGTCAGCAGAGAGACACTCCGTCTCCCTCAGGCTAGACCACCTGCTCTACCCTCTGCTGGACGTGCCTTCCTTACTTGTGGGACTCGGGACTGCTTATCTTTCATCGCTCAGCACCTAACACAGTGTCTGGCACTGCAGTTGCCAATCTCTCTTCTGAATGAATTAAATCTTGTGGCACTAAATCTAAACGGCACCCTCTGGATAACTAAGTGCGGTTAGGGTGGGAAAGCACAGTCCCTAATTTGGATTTTTTTTGTTTCCCTTCAGCTGCAATCTGATAAAATTTTCACTATTCCCGGATGGTAAGTGTGAAGTATTGGAGAGAAGAGAGGAAAAATTCTCATTTAGATGAATCCTCTCTCCCCAGCAGACTCGTCCCCCTTTCTCTGCGGGTTGTAAAATCCATTTGTCCAGTGGAACACGTTTTAGGTGTCATGTGTAATGTTCTGGTTTCTAATAGAGTGGCTGTAAATCATTTTATGCTAAAACCATGCAGATATGTGTAAGGTTCGTAGTTGAGTCTCTCTTCTGGCATACAAATTAAGGATATCTCAGAGAAATACAGGCACTGTGACACTTGTGAGGAGGTTTTCCTTTGCTTCAATCTCTGCGGAGATGGCATACCCTGCCCTTGTGTATGTCAGGCTTTGAAGTCAGACAGACCGGGGTCTAAACCCTGGCTCCACCAGCACGTGACCTATCACTTCACCTCTCTGCCTCAGTTTTCTCATCTGTAAAATGGAAAAAGTGATGCCTCACGGGGCTGTTGTAAAGATTAAATAAGATCCTATCTTTAAAGCATTTATCACAGAGGAAGCACTCAATCATTGCTACCACTTACTGTGCTAAGTGCTTTAAATACTATGTAACTACATACACACCCACATACAAACACACACACACACACACAGCCTATAACAACATACTCCTTACAACAATCCTAAAATGTAGGTACTATAATTATTTCCACTTTACAGATGAAGAAACTGAGGCAGGTTAACTAATTTGCCCAAAGTCACAAAGCTAGTAAGTAGCAGATCTGGAATTTAAACCTAGGCAATTCGGAGTCAAAGTCCGTGCTCTTAACACACATTAAAATGGCTCATAACACCTCAATGCACTCTTCAAGTCAACAAACGGTAACCATCATCATCATCATCATCATCTTTGCTGTCCAGGATTACCATGTCTATCTCATATTACAACAGTGCTCTAGCTGGGCCGGCTGCTCAGTCAGCCCTGGGTCGGTGACTCTGTTGCACAAACAATATTGTGTTCGTCTGGCAGCCTCTGGGGCTGCCCCAAAGGCCAGTGTGGTGCGACGCTCATACTCCGGTGGTAGGAAATACTGTCAAGGGAGGCCTCGGGATTCCGAAAGAGTGAAGCCAGGATACAAGCTGGCACAAAGTCAGAGTGTGTGGCCCTGGAACAATTTCATTTGCTTGTTGTCTTCCCTCTTTTAGTTGGAGAAAGAAACCAATTGATTCCTGCCTCCCAACCGACTCCAGCCAGACTGTGAGATTTTGTAATCGTGTCTGTCTCGGATCAGGGCCCAGAGAAATCAGATATGGAAGCACTCGCTTGGGTTGTCCATGCATTTCACCCCGAGCCAGGAAACGAGAACTTCCAACCCATCGTTATTGTCTTGTAAAAATCACAATTACTTGTACAAGGGGGACTCAGTGGACATTAGTGCCATGGGCTTATTTACCAGAAATTTCATTTGGCCTGTGTTTTCTTTTCTTTCCTGTCATGACTTACACTTACTGACTGTCTTTTATCTATCGTCCCTCAATTCTCATCTCCAAGTATTTTCTTTGTCTGGACCCCTATCAAGGGTCTCTGTCCTCTGTAGTCTGTACAAAATATGCTTTCCTGAAATACTCTTGTTTTTGGTATCAGGCAGGTCTGCCTTTCATTTCTGACTCTGATTAGCATTAGGCAAGTTGCCCTCTCTAAGCCTAAATTTTGCATATGTAAAATAGGTATAATAAAGAACCCAACTTGATAGAGGTGCTGTGAGGATTATACACAATAATAACAGTAACACACTCACTGAGGATTAACACCTTGATTATTACGCTAGGTGCCTTTCCCAAGCTTGCAGACAAAAATGCTGAAGGAGGGAAGAGATTCTAAGGTCCCATGTCGCACTTGGCATCTTTCCAGAAGGCATGGCTCCTCCCTGACGGAAGGGAAGGGAGACTGTCTCATCTGTGAGACCTCTGTACACAGCACCAGGGCACAGGCATCGTCTCATTTAATCCTCACAAAAATCCTGTGAAGAAGCTATTGTTTCCATCCCCATTCTAAAGACAAAGGACTGACGGTGGGAATAACTTGCCCAAGGTCACCCAATGACTAAGTGGCAGAGGAGGTACTCTTAACTGCCATGCAATGTAACAGTAATAAACAGTAGCAATAACAATTAGTGGTTACTGAGACTTCACCATGTACCAGGCACCATTCTAGAAGCTGTAGGTGCATTATTTCACTTAATCCTCATACCAACTCTGTGAGGTAGATACTATTATGAGGTCCATTTACAAATGTGTAGATTGAGAGGAAAGGGTGCTAAATTACTTGCTGAAGGCAGTGTGACAGAGCCGGAACTTGGAACCGGGTGGTCTAAATTCAGTCGGAACCTATCTTATGCTATCTCTTGAAAATGGAATAATGAAATATGCATATAAAGGGCTTAGCCCAGTGCCTGGCACCACTAATCTTCAATATGTTATCACTGCCGTTGTTACCACCTTGTTAATGATAGTCAATATTTGAACATTGCTCTGCTTTGTCATCTCTTTGCTCATCTGCAGGATGTGACCTCCAAGCACAAATCTGAGTGGACAGGAGCCATGTTCCTTGATTCATTTGATCTTTGCTCATCTTAACTGCCTTCTGCAAATGACAACAGCAAGATCCCCATCCTAACCCAGGTTTGTCGTCACCTCAAGCTTTCTCTTCCAGAAGCCCTTCAACTAAATGATCCCCCAAATCACTTTTTCTTTCTGCAACAGCTCTATATTAGTTTTCTATTGCTAGATCAAAAATTATACCAGGGGGCTGGCCAGTAGCATTGTGGTTAAGTTTGCCTATTCTGCTTCAGCGACCAGGGGTTCACAGGTTCAGATCCTGGGTGCGGACCTATGCACTGCTCATCAAGCCATGCTGTGATTGCATCCCATATACAAAATAGATAAAGACTGCCACAGATGTTAGCCCAGTGGCAGTCTTCCTCGAGTAAAAAGTGGAAGACAGGCAACGGATGTTAGCTCAGGGCCAATCCTCCTCACCAAAAAAAAAATTACCCCAAATTTAGCAGCTTGAAACAACCACCTTTGTTATCTCACAGTTTCTCTAGGCCAGAAGTCAAGGCATGGCTGAACTGGGTCCTCTGCTCAGGGTCTCACAAGGCTGCTCGTGAGGTGTTGGCCGGGCTGCGTTCCTTGCGGAGGTAAGAGTCCTCTTCTGAGCTCATGTGGTTGTTGGCAGAATTCAGTTCCTTGTGGTTGTAGGAGTGAGGGCCCCTGGTTCTTACTGGCTGTTGCTGGAGGCTGCCTACTGGTCCTGGAGGCCCCCTGCAGTGCCCAGCCGTGTGACTCTCTCCATGGGAAACCACATCAGAGCAGCTTGCTACTTCAAGGCCAGCCGGAGCATCTCTCCCTCCAGTCTACTAAGATGAAGTCTTACAGAAGAAAACACAATTGTGGGAGTGACATCCCATCACCTTCGCCATATTTTATTGGTTAGAAGTAAGTCACGGCTCCTACTCACATTCACGAGGAGGGAATTACACAAGCTGGGTCGTGGGGGGGTCACCTCAGGCTGTGTCCACTACAAGTTCTTTGGCTTCAATTTTTATTTCTCCCTCACTTGCCTCAATTTTGTTTGTCATCCCCTAAGAATACCATCTCTCATTCCGTCTCCATCTTCACATCCACAACAAAGCACCTTCTTACAGCGTCTGTAAAATTCTAAGATTCATTCTCCTCTTTTTTCCACATCAGTATAAAGTCAGGAATCCAAGCCAAGACCTCTCGTTTTCTCTCTGTTTCACCCAAGACCATAGTTTATTCATTTTTAACAGGTTTATTGGTATGTAGTTTACATACTATAACATTCAAAGAGTACTGTTCAGTGTATATTTACAGAGTTATGCAACCATCACCATAATACAATTTTAGAACATTTTTCATCACCCCAAAAAGAAACTTCATACCCTTTAGCAGTCAACACCATTTCCCCCTGTCTTCCTCAGCCCTAGGCAACAATTAATCTATTTTCTGTCTCTATAGAGACAGAATAGACTCTATTTTCTGGACATTTCATATAAATGGAACCATACACTATGTGGTCCTTTGTGACTGGCTTCTTTCACTGAGCCTAAGCTCCTAAGTTTCAAGGTTCTCCCTGGTTGTAGTATAAACAGTATTATTAAGGCTATATAGGATGTTTAGAGTGCTGTAGACAAAACAGCCAGAAAATGAAGAATTTTAACTTATAAAAGTAGGGTTAGGAAGAAGTATCTTTATTCAGTTTTCACCTCACAATTTTTTATGAAAGCTTACTATCTATAAGGCCCTGGAGAGAAGAAAAAATATGTAAGATTCAGCTGTTGCCCTTAAGGAGCTCAGACTGTAGAGAAAACAGGCAAACATACAACTCACACACCCCAGGGCTGACTTGTTATTCAGCACACAAACATCAGAGGAGGGAAATGCATAGTGAACTTTCAACTCACTAGGAGGAAATAGAAACCAAAACTAGTCTCTCTAAGATGTGAATGGTTTTTTAGGAAAAAAATGTTAAACAACACTCTTTGCTTTTACTTACATGCAGCTTAATGATTTTTGAAAATGGGGTGGGGGCTGTTTTGAGAGCTGTCACGTGTTGGGCAGGCAGAGGACTGGCTGGTCCATTAAGAGAACTGCAAGGGAGGGCAGGCTTTAGCACAGGCGCTGGTGTTCGCTGTCTTGACACCAGCCCCAGCGATCCCATTCTGCACGGATGTGCTCATGAATGTGTGCTCCAAGCCTGGAGGAGTTTCACTGCGACTTGACAATTTTTCATTTACCCAGAGGCCAGCATTTGAATATCGAAAACACTTCTGATTTAGACAAGCTGGGGAATGAGGAGACTAAATGGTTTCTGTCAGCAGGAGCTAACCTACATGTGGGAACTTTGGATGTTTCACAAAAGGGCAAGTTCAAGAATCCTTAAAACTACGAGGTGTCTATCACATCAGCTGAAGAAAACAGGAAGATAATGAAACATTTACCACAAATGTAATATTCATAGTGTTTCCAAACATTCCTCTGGGATAAGCGAGATTCTTGCTCAAGATTTTCAGACGGGGCCTCACGATTTCAAAGTCTGGTCATGGAGCAAGGCCAGAGTCTCGGCCATGGGACCAGCCCCTCCCACAGCCAGCAGCCTGGGCCTCCCGTTGCCAGCTGCTGGCCACCTTGGGGCAGAGCTGTCCTCAGGAGCAGACCTGTGGGAGCCTCAGGAAGACTGCTCACCCACGAGCCCCTCTCCCACTTGGCTTGTTGATCTGAAATTCCACCCTTAGAAATTTATATCCTTGCTCCAATGCAGATACTCCTGGGAGAAGAAACACATCTTCTATCAGCCATTTACACCTCAGTGCAAATGTGCTTATCAGAGCCCTTGCCAAAGAGTCTGTTCTTGGAGGGGAGGAGATGAAAGGAACTAAGAACAAAAAAATGCCTGAGGATGAAAAGTAACCAAAAGCCACAAAAGGACGGAAAGGAAGGCAGACAGGATGCACCAAAGACAAGGTCTGCGTCTTCCCAGGAGCGTTTGCTTAAGCGAGGCAAGAACTGACTCAAACTTGTCGGGATCAAATGGAGGGAAGAGGGGTGTGAAGTGGTTACAGAGATGCCGGGACCTCAACACTGTGCCTCTGGCTGGAGGAGTCGGGATCAGGACCTGGCCCCTGGTTTGGACGCGGTGCCTGTCTTCTCTCCAGAGGGACAGTCTCGTGATGGGGAGTCATCTGTGCTGCCCGGACAAAGGAGGAGGAAGCCCGCACCCGTCCTCCGACCTTCACCTTCGACCGTCGCCGTCGGGGGAGTGCTCTGTCCGCTCTAGCACTCCACCAAGAGCCTCACGTCTACTTAATCCCACACAGGCTTTCTGCATTTAAAGAAAGTGAGCAGTGTTGTCTAGCAGAATGTGATCGCACACCCTGTGAGGAAAGACCAGGCCCCAACGCTCACACTGAGCTACTGTTTCAGACCTACCAACAAGGTGACCCCAAAACCTGGCGAGAAGATTACCTGTCTACATAACACAATGATCTCACAACACTCAAAGGGGATTACAACTCAGAGCTATCCAGTGCCACCGGAGGTCAGGCAACCCAATGAGAAGTCGCTTTAGAATTAATTAATTAATTGCATTCAAAAAACTCCTCTTGGTTTCCTGTCGTTGGTATTATTCCTGAGAACCGTAATCCATAGCCTCTTGGATGAGCCCAAATTTCCCAAACGTGTAGCCAGTTTACGTTACTCGTAACAAACCCACAAATAGTTGGACTGTCTCTGCGTGCAGACCAAACCTGGGATATTGATAAATGACAGGAGTCAAGGGAGACATTTAACATCTATCCTAGATATGTGTATATCCCCATCGTCATCTTTAAGGTGAAAGTGTTTAGATAGTTCTTTTCCCAGAAAATATGTGAATTGCTATGCTCAAAGAATAGGAATGAAAGATTTACACAGGGGGCTCCCCAAATAATTTCATCTGCTGAAAACACAGTGGAAAAGCCTAGAAGAAGCAGCTCCAACTCTCTTTAATTTGCCTAACATCCGATTCTCATTCTAGAGAATTTTTATTCTGGACTTTGAGGAAGAAAATGCCTACCTCAGGAATTACAGTGTTAAGAGATCCTCCTTGTAGGTGAACGTTTAATGAACTGTCAAACCCATCATAAAACACTTCATATGGCTTTAGTTACTCCTTGAGCCAAACTACGCCTCAGGCATACAAACTGATACCTTGCTCATCTTTTCAGATGCCACGAGAGCCTAGATTCACAGTGTTCCTTTTTTCCCATCCCAGGGCTCTTTTTTTAAAACCTTTCTTTTTGGTTAAAAAGATTGGAGAATCTAATTGTATTTCTCTCCCTAGAAGGGACTGGTTCTGAAATGCTTTTTAAAGTATGTTTGTGGCATCTGAAAGTTCCCTACCTCCCACACTCAAGTTCTGAAGCTTGAAAGAATACATCATTTCTAGTTTGATGAATATCCAAAACTGAGAACACAATGCAAGGGAGTGTCTGCCATATTTCACTCCACAGCGGAGTCACCGATTTTCCTTAGACATGGTTTTAGCATAAAGTAAATTGTATTTCCAGGATTGCTGCCAAACACAACAACACAAATAATGACGACCAAAACAGCAAAATGCGAGTGAACCAGAAGTGATGATGTTTCATAAGGAAATCCCATAAATGTTCTAAAGATGCTTTGGTTTTACTTGAAGATTAATTAATTAAACCAGATTGGCAAAGTCCCAGCATGTAAAACTGTAGTAAAAGAGAATTCAATAGAAACCCAATGGGGATCCAAATAGAGATTTAACACTTCTTAAAGCAAACGTTAAGTTGCATCTCAGCAGTCAATGATTCTGAAGATGAAGCTTAGAGTAGTCTAACTGAGGTTTTTTTTGTTCTTTTAGTTTTTTTGGACTTGGCTAAATACTTAATAGTGACTGTTTTCCGGAATCTCTAAGTTACTCCATTTGCAGATTATAAGTATTTCTAGCAAATCGTCACATCAGCATCAAATCATTCGTAAAGCGTCCGTGTGAATGTGACTCCATAATATTCTTTACCTGATGAAGGGGGTGGGGGGAGGGGAACTAGCACTGATTCCACACGGGAACTCTGCCAGGCTGCTCCACGACTCTTCACGTCATCCTCACACCACCACCATGAGTTAGGTACTATCATCTCTATTTTAGACATACAGACATTTAAGTTCTGAAAAGTAAATTGTTCAAGTTCAAACATATTGCAGGTTTCAGAAAAGGAAACAAATAGGGGCTTTAGAAGAGCATTGCTCTATATACCCGACTTTACGTCGTTCAAGAAATTCCAGGGAAGGCATTGGCTTAGTTTAAAACTGCTTTCGACTCTGGCACTGTGTTCCGACAGCAAGGCTGCTCTGAGACTGCACCAGGTGGGGCTCAGTCCTACAGGCCTTCTGTCTTTAATGGTGCAGTGCTTTGCAAAAGTGAGAGACAAAAGGTTTTAAGCAGTACTATAATATGATAAAAAAAATCACTGAATCAAAATTATCCTTTTTCACTTCTGCTTTTCTCACTGAGGTAAAATTCACGCAACATGGAATTGAACATTTTAACCATTAACTTTTTAACCATTTAACATTTTAACCATTTTAAAGTGTACAATTCAGTGGCTTCTAGCCCATTTACAGTGCTGTACCTACAGTACTTTGCCTTCAATCCTTTAGTCTGTGTCACTGGAAAAAAAATCTCAGTTTGGTGCTGGTGTATCTTTAATAACTCTCTAGTATCTGGTAAATCCCCTTTAAAAAAAAAAAAAAGAGAAGCAGACTTAGATCCTTTGGTAAATAAGCATACAACTAGAATTTGATCATATAAATTTGGTGTCTTATTTGTATTTATTTTTTATTTACCCTGAATTTCTATTTATGTAGTAACAATGTCCTTATTAAATAACTATTTAACTAAAATAGTGAGTTGATGTAAAGAAAAATTTTAGGTAAATAATACCATTAGTGGTACATAGAGATGGCAAAAAAAAAAAAAAAAAAACCATAAAGAAGGGATAGTAATGACTGAAGTTCCAGAACCACTCTTCCGATGGTGGGATGGACAGTGACAACGTTCAGGTGACGAGCGTTTAGAAGGAGGAGGCTGGGCAGAATGAGATCACCCATCAAAAGGTTGTAGGGGTGAGGGGCTAGGACCTGGGAGGGTAGACACTAATAATAAATTCTGGAATGTGGGCTGGTCCTGAGTCCTCTTTCCCGTTGAAAGTCCACTGGCCTCGCCCGCCTTCCGCAGTGTTTCTGAAGGCCTGGAGACCCTGGAGTTGTCTCCACTCTGAATTAGAGAAAAATAGCCGGCCTCAGAGCAGGAGCAGGTCCACTCCAGAACAGCGGGGCAGCAGACAATGAAGGTTGTCCCCACAAAGGACAGGCAGGTAGGAAGCCCAGAGACGGGCCGAGAGAGCTCAAAGACTGGGCCGCAGCTTAACAACCGCAGGCTGTGGTACAAGGAAACATTGCCATCTCCCAGAGAGCTGTTAACGGACGAAGATGAGGAGGAACCGTAAGGCCAGGGGCTGGAGGTGACCTTTAAATGGAGTGCCTGTCCCTTTGCCCTCAGGCTTTTAGACGGAGGCTGTAGGGAGCACGCGTGTGGGAGTGTGGCTGTGTAGGGAGTCGTCTTTCTTCCACGGATCTGCTCACAGGGCCCATTTGTGCAGGAAACAGACGGCATGCCTCAGCCCTGAGGCTCCGCTGCTGGAAGATCCTCTCCGCAGGCAAATCTGTTTCTAATGACTCACCATTTGTAAATGGAACTCCCATCCCAGGCTCTTCATTAGTAAGAGGTTATCAAGAAGAAAAATGGGGCACCCCTCTCGAGATAAAATTCCCTGATGCCTAACAGATTGTCAAGAAGATTTCCAGCCCACTAGATGTGAAGACAATGCACGTACACACACACACACACATACACTCCAGAGCTAGTGTTTGCCAGAATATTCATTCATTCTAGGTATCCAATGTGTATTAGACACTCTGCCACACGAAAGACAAAGTTCCTCCTTTTAAAATGCAAATATATATAAAGGAAACCATACGTTAAGACATCAGTCCTGTACAGATTGTAATGTGATGCTTTCCCCTAACATCTTGGAGAGATCAGATAAACTGAGGAAAATGGGAGTTTGAGTCATAGAAATTGCATTTCCTTCCTGTTACTGCCACATTTCTGTGTTTCCTTCCTGCAAAATTTGTCTCATGAGCTGTTCGTGTCCCTTGTCTGTTTCTGCATCTCCTGTCTTCAGTCCTATCCAGCTTCCACCCGCACCACTCCGCTCAAACCGGTCTTGTCAAAGTTACCCGTGTCTTCACGTTGTCAAATCCAGTGGTCACTTTTCTGTCTTCCTCCTTCTGGACTCTTGGCAGAATTTGACACAGTTGAACTCCCTAATTTGAGGCACTGTCTTATCTTGGCTTCTGCAACATGAAACTCTTCTGATTTTGATCCCACCTCTCTCGCCACTCCTTCCCATCTGTGCCTCTTCTAAAAGTAGGAGAGCCCCAGGGCCACACCTCAGCTCTCTTCCCTATTCACAGCCTTTCCCTGGCTGATCCCATCTGGTCCTGAGGCACTGAAGGCTGACAACTCCAAATTTTTATCTCTAGTCCTGACTCCTGCCCTGAGTTCTGGGCTCAAATATCCAGCTATCTAATTGATAACTCTAATTATGTCTAATAGGCATTTCAAACTTAATCTGTCCTGAATAGAACTTTGATTTCTCCTCCCATATTTCTTTCTCTATCTTCCCCTTCTCAATAATGGCATCAATATCCAACCAGTGGCTAAAAACAAAACCACCATATCTTGCCAAGACTATTGCCTCCTAGCTGGTTTCCCTGCTTCCATTCCTCTATTCGAAACCCTCCAGTGGCTTCCCATCTCAAAATAAAAATCTAAATACTGATCTTAGCTTATGACTTGCCCACCCACCTACCTCTCCCTGACCTCGTCTCCTTCCTCTTCCTCTCTGTTCACTCTGCTCCCGCCACCAACGCCACCGCCGCCCTGTCTACATGCTGCTCCTCTACCAGGCTGCATGCCTCCACCCCAGGGCCTCCGCACTCACGGCTTCCTCTTCCTGGAGCACCCTCACCTCAGCTATCAGCATGGCTTACTTCCTCACTTCTCTGCTCAAATATCACCCCATCAAAGAGGATGCCCCTGATTATCTTATCTAAAACTAGCCACCCTGTCACTCCTCATCCCCTCACAATGCTTTCCTTACCTTCACTATCACTCCCTGACATGTGTGGTTTATTACCATCTGTTTCTCTCCACTAGAGTGTAAGGGTTAGGAGAGCAGCGACTGGATGTGTTTTGTTCACTGCTCTATCCCCAGAGCCTAGAAGAGCGCCTGGCATGTAGTAGGTGTTAAATGAATATTTGTTGAATTAATTAATAAATCTTTATTCTTCTTTCCTCCAACTCCTCATGTTCAATCCATCTGAAAAATCATCATGTCACCTCAATCCCAAATCCATCCAGTTCTATCCTAGCTTAAGCCACCATCATATCTTGCCAGGATCACTGCTTAGCATCCTGACTGGCCTCTCTGTTTTCTCTCTAAAATCCATTCTCCAAAGCACAGCCAGTGATTTTTTAAAAACACAAATCAGACCCCTTTTTCAAAACCTGTGAATGGTCCCCGTTGCTCTGAATAAAGTACAAACCTTTAACCGCGGTCTACAGGCCACGTATCACCTAGCACTGTTGCCCTCTCCTTGCTTGCTAAACTGAAGCCAGACTAGTCGTCTTCCTATTTCTTGAATACACCAAGTTTGTTCCTGCCTCAGGGATTTTGCACATGCTGTGCCTTCCGTACAGACAACTCTTCCCCAGATAGCTACACAACTGGCACCTTCTCTTTATCCAGGTCTCAACTTAAATGTCAACTTCTCAGAGACCCTCCCTGGGCACAATCTAAGCTAGACTCCACCCAGTGACTCTCCTTCATGTTAGTGTGCTTTAGTTTCTTCACAACACTTATAAACATACTATTTATTCGCTTGTATTCACTCGTTATTCACTTGGCCCCTTTTTTTTTTCAACTGCTCTTCCCAGTAAAATAGTCTGTCTTGTTCTCCATCATATTCCCAGTATACTATATAAATAATGGCGTCATTATTATTATTATTATTTGCACATGGGTAGTTATTCATCAACTATTTGTTAAATTGAATTAAATTTAATAGCCTTTAAAATTTTTTCTTAGACAAGTAATTTTTTTTTAGTAAAACTGTTGTAAATCTTGAGATGAATTAAAGATATCATTATTTGTATTAGTCAGACTAATAATGCTAGCAAACAATACCAGTGAAAGTATATTTTGCATTCATTTCACTGTTTAGTGATGATATTATATGGGCAGCATTCCACACAATGATTCCAGGACCCAAGATCTCTCCATCTTATGGCTCTGCCATCCTCCACCTTCAAATCCTCCGCTGCATTCTCTTCATCCGACCAGTCAGCATGCAAAGAGAAAGAGCAGGCCAAGGATCTCCTCGGAGACGTTGGAGGCCAGGTCAGAAGTGAAGGCTATCACTTTACCCACCTTCCATTGACCAGAACTAATCATACAGCTCCAACTTAACGGCAGGGAAGGCGAGGGCTGCCCACAAAGAGGATTCGGGACTGGCGAGCATCTCCTCAGTCTCTGCACGGCAGCGTGTGTTCTACAGAGAGCACCCTGACTTCCAGCTGTCTGCCGCATGAACGAGCTTGAGGTTCACAGGAACTGACGAATCAACCTCAGCGCAGAGGGAAGACCAAAAGGTAGCAGTTCCTTGCCCGGTCAGAGCCGATGAATGTGGAACTCTGCCAGAACGATCCTAACTTGCCCAGCAGCTGCCTTCATGTTTCTCAGCATTCCTAGGAGTACCATATTTGGGCTTTAATTCCAGCCATAACATCAGCCCAAACTTACGGCCTCCAATAGCTAACCTGAGCCTCTGAATTTCAAAGCTTCATTTCTCGCTAAGATGAATGGATTTGGAGAGCCACAGTTTTGAGGTAAATCATCTTTACTGGTGGTTTCCTCCTTTCTTCCTTTTAGTTCTTCTTAACCTACCTATTTTCGTTTGGCTATACAAAATATCTTATCATGGATCTTAAGATATATGATAGTTTATCCAATATCATGGAAACAGACTACATAAATCAATTCTCAATAGCTTAGGCAAGATGGGAACAAATTCAAATAGACAGCTGGACCTTGCTCTAAATTTGAACATTTTCAAATTTCTTGTGAATTAAATCCAGCAAGGGTAGGCCACAGATCCCAGGAACATTTTTACTTCTCTTCTCCTTCCTTGGTTTAATCTCATTCGCCCTGGGCTTAATCTGTGCTCTGCATCTCATAATTGTTTCACTTAAGCAATTAATGGAAATTACAAGGCCATAAAGATAAGGAACAAAGCTATGTTTTAGAATAATGTGGAATTTTATGAATAAAATGAAAAGAGTCAAACCCTAACCCCACTATAAGAACAGGTATGGGGGCATTAAAGTGAAACACGTGAAATAAATGTGTTGAATCTCATGAGCTTCTCCTACAACTGATTTCTTTAACAAAAGTCATTACCAAATGACATCCAGCTAGACACATTTAGGAACAGAAAGCAGATAAAATAGACTAGTTGAGGAGAGAAGATGTATATAAGTAGAACAATTAAGTAACAACTTTAAGGCAATCTTCAATTCACTTGAAGTAATTTGGTAAATGCAGATGAAGTCAGAAATATTATACAGAAAAGACAAATGACTGAGGAATGGGATGAGAGCAGAAAATCTTCAGGATATTGAAGGAAAGGCCTCATGTGGATTAGCGGAGAGGAGGAGAGGAGATTCTCCAGGGAGGGCACAGTATCAACGGAGACATGAAGATAGACTATATGGGTAAAAGAGAGAAGAGAACATGAAGACAACTTACTTGCTGGAGTAGGGCGTGCGGAGTGGGATGCTCCATGGAGAAGACGGAAAAATATGATTTACTGAGCCAGGCTCATTGTTTGCAGGCTAAGGAGTCCAGACTTGTAGTAATCAGAAATAAGCCAGAGTGTAGGGTCTTAATCGGGAGAGAGAGATGATGAAAGCAATGATGACTCTGGCAGCCATCTGTGGGACAAATCGAAAGTGAGAAGATCAGTGAAGAGGCTGCTGTAGTAATTTCTATGGGACTTGATAGGGGCTTGGCTCTGAGAAGTGGCAGCTGAAACTGAGAGCCAGGGACAAATCCAAGAGACTCTGCAGAGAAAGGAAAGATACTTGTGAATGACTGGACACAAGAAGTGAAGGAGAGGAAGGAGAAAATTAAAACCCTGGGATGGGGCAGTGGCGGTGGCCCTGAACAGGAGGAATTTATGAAGATTATGATGTGTCTTTCAGATTAAATTTCGTAACATTTATTACTGAGCTAGTCATCGTGGAATGCTTCCTTTTTAATTTCTAATTCTAAGACACATGGTTAAAGTTAAGGTTAATATTCTTGTTGGCTTTCGTTTCATATAACTTTGAAATTTACAAAGTTGGGGGGGGATTGAGCATACCCATCAAAATAGTGTATAGTTGCCAGGTCATGTTTTAATCTATAACAGAATAGCAGAAGAGTGCTACGCGTAACCAAAACATATTTTACTAGGACAGGCAATCAGGGCTCAAAATCAAAATGGTTGTTGAGTAAGTGTAGCTGGTATAAGACAGATAAAGATAATTGATCTTTTAAGTATCATGTAAACCTTTTACCTGACGTTTCTGCTCTTTTCCATAATTACTTCTGTAGCAAGTAGAAAAAGGTGAAACTGATGCCAAAATCCAAAACAAAATAGAGACTCCACACAAAGTGAGGCAGCCACCAGGAAAGACGTTCAAACCTGGTGAAAAGCAACGCAAGCAAATTTCAGGAAGAAAGAAATGTGAAATGAATGTAAACACGAAGATGTGCCAGGAGCAAACGGGAAAAGCAAAAGAATGAGCAAAACCTCCCCACCCACAAGTGGAGGATTTAGGAGAAAGCTGTGGTAAACAGATGTGAACTGGAGATCCAAAAATTAGAAATGTATGAATTAGTATGAGATGAAATAAAATATTTAGCAGAGAGCTTTAGCCTTTGACGCTGTCAAAAGTAGAATCTTTTCTCAGATTCACGAGGCTCCAGTTTACCAGAAAAGTCCTTCAGTGCCAGAACAAAGGTGGCATAACTCGTAATGCTATGGAGGGTGGGGAGGGCCCATGGCAAAACAAATCAGCTCTTCATTAAAAGAATGACGTGCAGGATCTCCACCATGGTGTTCCTGAAGGCTCGGAGACTATAGAATTAAATAGTTCCCAAACAGCAACCCCCCTTCTGGGTGTATATACAAAGGAGAGGAAAACAGGATCTCAAAGAGACATCTGCACTCCCACATTCATTGCAGCATTGTTCACAATAGTCAAGAAATGGAAATGACCTAAGTGTCTGTCAATAGATGAATGGACAAAGATGTGAGAGAGAGATATATAAAGTAGAATATTATTCAGCCATGAGAAAGAAGGAAATCCTGACATTTGCAACAACATGTATGGATCTTAAGGGCAATATGCTAAGTGAAATAAGTCAGACAGAGAAAGACAAATATTACTGTATGATATCACTTACATGTGGAATCTAAAAAAGCCAAACTCATAGAAACAGAGAGTAGAGTGTTGATTACTAGGGGCTGGGGGCAGGGAGGAGAGAAACGGGGAGATATTGGTCAAAGGGCACAAACTTCCAGTTATAAGATGAGTAAGTTCTTGGAATCTAATGTACAGCATGGTGATTATAGCTAATAATACTGTATTGTATACTTGGAGGATGCTGAGAGAGTAGATCTTAAATGCTCTCACCACAGAAAAGAAATGGTAATTATGTGACACAATGGAGGTGTTAGCTGATGCTGTGGTGGTAATCATTTTGCAATATATAAGTGTATCATATCAACACGGTGTACACCCAAAACACACATAATATTATACGTCAATTATATCTCAATAAAGCTGGAAAATGAAATAAAATAAATAATTCCCCAAATTTGGATGCTTAGATGAGATTATCGAAAGAGGAAGTTGGGAATTTATGTGGAATTAAGGTATATATAGGGATTTCTAGTTGACCTCCAATATCGAATCTTCCCTTCTTGCTCAGTAACAGAATCCCAAAATATTAAAAGGGCACATGGCTGCCTAAAATAAAGACTATATTTCCCACCCTCCTTTACAGCAATGGTGTAGTCATCTGACTAAATTTTGGCCAAAGGATTACAAGAGGAAGTGGTGTGTGTAACTTTAGGAAATGTCTTTAAAAGAAGGGTGCATGCCCTGTTCTTGTGCATTTTTCATTCCTGGTCACTGAAATGTAAGCGTGACGGTTGAGACCAGAGAAGCCATCTCAGATCTCAAAGTGAAAGCCACATGTTGAGGATAGTGACACAAGAATACAGGACCCTGGGTGCCTGACAATAAAGGCGCCAGCATACCAATCATAGATAACGTTTACCTGAAAGTGAAATGAACTCCTAACTTGGTAGAGTTCCTGATAATTACCTAACTAACAAAGTTGTCTTTGATAACTAGAACTTACAGAGGCAGGACAGGCTCAACCCAAACCAAGCTGCTATGAGGCTTCTAGCACTAGAAAGCTGACAGGATCTCTTCACAGTAAATATCAGAACAAATCTGATCAGTGTGAAGGAACATGAGTTTTAGCTGGACATTGAGAAAAAAAAGAAAGTAAGGTAATCAAACCACCTAATTAGACAACTGAGCAGGTGGGGTTTGGGAAAGTGAGCAAACACACAGAGCACCCTCTGTGCTTAGAAACACACACAATAGAAAAGGGGGATTCGGCTCCTGAGCTGAAAGCGAGGGGCTTTACACAGCAATCATTAGAAGAAGGAAAGTCAACAACGCACTACAAGCTGCCCAGTTACAAACATGGGCAAGGATGCAGGGTGTTGCCTAGAAAAGAGGTACATTGTGTGTGAGGCACAAATCAGCAGCAGCCTTGGAAAATTCTTGCAGGGCTAGGAAAGTACAGTAGAACTGTTCTATGCAGAAATTTCTCAGTTAGATCATGATTATGTTACTATGGAATTTTACCGTAAGCCAAAAATCTGTGAGATGAGACTAGAGATGTTAAATGAAAGTGAAGAAACCACAAGATCAAGCTAGGCAGGAAAATGGTAGACCTTGTTTTATCATACAAACTGATGAAACATGTTTGATAAGGCAGGAGGCACAGTCTCAGGATCACACAAAGGACTGCTCTCGAGAACCCACAAACAAAGGGAACATCGTGGTCTTGGCTTTGAGTGCTAGATAAGAACTTACATAGAAAGTGTTTTCACAGGAACCACTGTGTAATAGTAGTTACAACACGATTTAGTTCCACATTCTGGCAGAAAACTCAAAAATCCATTATGTAGTTACTCAACTTTTAAAAGGGAACTATGACCAACCCACAATCAGTACATTGGAAAAAAGGAAGAAAATGTTAAAAGGAATCATGTAAAGAGAAATTAATTGAAAAAGCCAGGTTACTGCTTAAGCATTACTAGAAGCCCAAGAAAAGTATTTGCCATGAATAAAAAAGATGTTTCTTTTTTACAAAAAAAAAAACTCTATATGACCACTAACTGTTAAAAACAAACAAGGAGCCGGCCTGGTGGAGTAGTGGTTAAGTTTGGTGCGTTCCACTTCAGCAGCCCGGGTTCACAGGTTCAGATCCCAGGCATGGACCTACACTGCTCGTCAGCCACACCGTGGCAGCAACTCACATATAAAATGGAGAAGAATTGGCACAGATGTTAGCTCGGGGCTAATCTTCCTCAAGCAAAAAAAGAGCAAGATTGGCAATAGATGTTAGCTCACGCTGATCTTCCTCAGTAACGAACAAACAATAAAAACCACCTCTCTTTTAGGAGGAAAATCTTTTTTTTTTTTTAGTGTATATATATTGACCAGTGAGAGGAACAAGGAGACACACAGTGTGAAGGACAGGTGTAAACCAGAAATTGGGCAGCAAAACAAACGTAGGGCCTGCTAGGGAGCTACAGACACAGGGGTAAGAGAATACAGAAGTTCGCTGGAAGGCTGTAGGACTCCTTTTGATCATGGTACAAAAGATTTGAAGATGAAAGGAAAAAAGAGAGACTAAATGGAGTTTCTGGAAAATTTTGCCTCCCAAATTCAGTTTGTAAGTACACTAATGGGAGATATTAAATGCCCAGAACATTCTAGACCTGGCTGACAGAACAAACGTCATCAGGGCCAGAGAGCAGTTACTCAAAGGTTCTGAAGGAACTATTACCCGAAATGTCGAAGAGGCCGTCATCAGTGCATGCCTAGCAGACGGCCAGGCAGAGTGTCGCCCACGGGAAAGTCCTGAGAAGCATGTGCAAACGAAACAGGAGCTTCACTTACATGACAGGTCAGCTGCTAGGAGAGAAAATCCAGCAGAAACCCTACATACTTTTAAAATGTGGCAAAATGGGGGAACTCATGCTAAGTAACTCTAGTATTTTAGGAGAGAAAGAAATGTAAAGACAAGAGGAATTGATGGACATAATTGATTTTGAGTCTCAAAGTTCTTTACACAGCTACCTGAACTATGACGGGGCCTGTTTTGAAAAACAAACAAAACCGAATTCAGATCTGACTCAGGCCTTACAAAATGATGTCGTTTTTCTTGATGATTTCTCGAGGATATGCAGGCATCTGCGTGGCGTCACTCATCGTGTAGCAATCTCTCTCTTCTCCTTCTCCGGGTCCTTCCCCCTCGCTCTGTACTCCCCTCTCCACTGTGACGGCCGCCGCCGCTTGGGCTCCGCTTCACCCTTTCTCCCTCTCCAAAATCCTGGTCATCGCACACTCCCCACCTCACCCCCGTCAGCCACCCAGACCCAAAAAGGCCAGAGCTCGCTCAATGGCATTCCGCAAGAGAAAACTCCCTCTTTTAGCCTAAACATTAACTACTTATAGTTCTTGACGCTCTTGGGAATACTCAAGTCATAAGTCATATAGGATAGGAAATGTTTTAGAAAATAATTAAAACATTGTTCTAGCTTTGCACACATGGAAAAAATGATGATACCAAGAGCTAAGGCTTTTGTAGCATTTTCTAACATTTTATGTATATTAACTCCTTTAATCTCTCTATCGTCATCATCGTCCCCTTTTTACACGTGAAGAAACCTAGGTCACACAGCTTAACTAGCAGGACAGGACTAGGAACCCTGCTCTTTAGTCTGGCTCCGGAATCCACCTTCTCAACTACTACACCACATGGAATCTCCTCTCTCCCCAGTGGGGTTCTCTTCCTGAGTTTTCCGTCTCTGTGGATGGCACCCCTGCCTATCCACACCCCCTCCCCACCCCCATCCACTGAGTGCCCTGGGCCGGATGGATTCCTGCAGCAGCCACTCCCAGCCTGTGCTTTTGCAGGAGCATGTACATTCACTCACACACACATACACATACCATCTTTCACCATATGAGGCCAGAATGTGTTGTGTCCAGCACTTAAAGTCAGTACTTTAGCTTCTTGTTTAATAAAATTTGAAAAACAAACACATACACACCAGAAAACAAGGAACACAAATATCCACTTTTTAAATTATTAAAACAAAGTTTTTTGAGTGTATACTGGGATGTTATGATACTAGATCTCAACATTTCTGAACTCCTGAGGGTGAAATTAGGGACAAAATATTTTGGAAATCTTCCAGAGATTTGCTTCCTGTGGCTCTAAAAGTGGAAGTAAGAACATGTCTCTTGGGCAGGCTCTTCTTGGTCCTGGGGGGAGCAAGTTAATGACCTCAAGGTCGTGGCCATTCGAGGTCCACGTGGCAGTGGATGCTGGAGCCTGTCCCAAGCCAGCCCTCCCAAGGTTGCTAGCACCCAGGGACTCGGCAGTGAAGCACAGGATTTTAAAAGTAGGATGTTGGGGTGAGGCCCGTTTGAGGTGGGATAGTGTGTGTGCTGGGGTGGGGGAACGCTGTTGGGGCCAGGGGAACGGTAGGTCTGACAGGAGTCGAACCCCTTTACCCTTCAAAGAACAACCGTGTGCCTACAGCAGTAACCCCACAAAGACACCCAGACACGGTGTGAGTTTTGGTGCAGAACCAGCAACAACAAAATGTTGGAACTCAGCAAGGAGGTTCCTCCAGCCTCAAGGGGCACTTGGGTTCTGAGCCCAACCCAAGGAGATAGGTACAAACAAGACCCTGTCGACTATTGGCCATATAACAGGGAGAGAGGGGCTGAGAGAGAGAGAGAGAGAAAGAGACTGGATTTTCTACTTATCTGGCCATGCGGGGAGTAGAGAAAGTATTATTTCCAAAAAGGTAGAATGTGATTTTATTTGTCTCTCCATGTACCTGAAATG